GGTTCGGGGGGCCGAGCGAGGCTCCCCTTGGAGCGAGGCCGCTGGCCCGTGCTGCGTGTCCCGAGGCGGGGGGAGCTGGGGCAGGCAGGGTGGCCCGGCCTCGGCCGCAGTGGTAAAGAGGGGAGTCTCAGGGGCGCTTCAGCAGGGAGACGTGAGAGGGTCTGATAGGAGGGAGCCTCGCGTCAGGGGTCCGTACTGATTAATGACCGCAGGTCCCTCTAGCCTGGTGTCCTGCTTGGCGCGGCAACGCTGGCAGATGCTTGTTTTGTGAATAAAACTAGGCCGTGTTATCTCTGTCAGTGCTCACCAAGCCTGCACCAGCTTCTGGCTTGGGGATTTCTTGAAACGGGTGACTTCTGTCCAGTTAGAAGTCTTCAATAGTTTTCTCAGAAACGTAACAGGACATAAGCCGAAAGCAAGCGGTGATGGAGCTGTTGTTTTCCTCTTCTATGCTGAAAGGCATAGTTTTTCATATTTTGTGCAGGCGGCGGTAGGTCATCATGTTTATATATTGACACAGTGTCTTTATTTTCTGTGAAGTGGAAGTATCTTTTGAAGTCAAGTTAGGTTGGAATATGACAAATTTTAAGTTATCTTAAGTCTTTACAAATTTTGTATTGCTGCTTCTACTTCTGTAATTAAAAAATTCTCTCTTTCAGTACCTACGTGGCACCACCAATACTAAATCCATTCATCTTTGCAGGTAATCATGGATCAGGTAATGCAGTTCGTGGAACCCAGCCGTCAGTTTGTAAAAGACTCCATACGACTTGTTAAAAGATGCACCAAGCCTGACAGGAAAGGTAAAGCACACAGTAAAACAGAACACAGTCCTTATTTCATCTTATACTTTACCGTGTATCTTCCCATACGTGACTTGATTTATTTGTCGTGAATGGTTCTCAGCTTCCAATATGAGATTTAAACTTGAGCAGTTGTCCAGTTGTTAATGGGTTTATGGTTCTGGATATAATAAACTTGAATGTGTCCTTTTCTGGTATGTACTCAGTCAGGTGTGTGAGAGCGCTACTAAAACTCACCTTATGAAATAGGCTAGGTAGCTGAAATCAGCCATTTTGAGACAGGCAAGTAATAGTTTTCATGTATTAGGTAAACTGATCTGAGAAGAACTTGTTTGCGCTTTGAAAAGACAAATGCACCGGTCAGGTTTGTCTGATTGCAGTCAACTTGGGGGAAGTGCTGGAGGAAACTGCTTGTTACGTGACCTTGGAGGAAACGCTTCATTTTAGGAGACTGGAAAGGAGCTAGGATTGCTTTCTGCGGTGCCCATTCAGTACTTCACACTTGTCAGTGACTGCCTGATTGGGACAGGAACTTTGTTTCTGGATGTATAGAAGAGAAGATTTTTGGACTTTCTCAAAGGCATTAGAGAGAAGCTGTAACTATAACCAGAATGTAACTGGTTGCCCTTAATGGTAGTAGTTACGATGCTTTATTCACATGCTCAGGATGAAGTTTACTGACATCTTCCTGTGACAACCATAAATGCAGCTTTTCCATTTTTGATACTGTATTGGGAATTATTTTCAGGGCTTGTAAGAGGTATAAAGGAAAGATAATGGAATAAATGTTCCATGAATTGTTATGAACCGTGTGTATTTCCGATTCTGCTTACTATTTAAAATCGTTGCGATCGGCAATGCTTTGTGGAAAGCAGCATCTTCTCGCTTAAAATCTCACGTGTCTTCTGAAAAAGAGGATTTGTTTCTCAACGTCAATGCAGTTTGCTTTTGAACTGCTTCCTGTGTTAACATTACCATTTTCTAAAGAGAGCTCGCTCTCCTTTGGTCACTGTAGTGCACATCTCCTCTATGCCATACTCGAGGTTTCCTAGACTAAAATTTTTTTGGTTTTGCAGAGTTCCAGAAGATTGCCATGGCAACAGCAATAGGCTTTGCGATAATGGGATTTATTGGTTTCTTTGTCAAATTGATCCATATCCCAATCAACAATATCATTGTGTAAGTAAATATGAACCTTCAATTTCACTACATTTTACCTTCATTTGTACCTGTTCAGTTTTAAATAGAGGATGTTAGCGAGCCCTACAGGATCCGCGTTGCTTTAGTATCTGTGCATTTCACATGTTAGTGTAATATGACAGGTATTACTTGATTCAAAGGACCTGATCAGGAAGTAGATCGTTAATTTAGCATGCTGCAAAATATTAGATCCATAGTTCTTCAGGGTTTTTTTGAGTATTCTGCTTCAAAACTGAACGTCAAATATTTTGATTTCCAGTTCCTCAGCGTGTGTTTATCCATAGAACGTTTACCTTATTTGGATCTTACATACCCTTACTGTTTCCAGTTTATAATTTGGGTATCCAAAGTAAATGCATGGATGTTAAGGTGGAGAAAACTGAGTGATTGTGCTGGAAGGTGACAGGGCACAGAACAAAGTTGGTCTTGTTTCATTTACTGAGTGCTAGATACGTTTGAAACTGTTTTACGTGTAACTGCATTCTGTAAAATACCTTTTGGAATGAACGTTGCAGCATGAAAAATTTGACCCTTAAGTTGACCGGCAGCCGTGGTACTGATGTATTAACACCACCAATTAAAACTCCTCAGATTCTCCAGAACTGATGTAATCCCTTTTCTAGCACTGGAACAGGTTAAATGCTATTCCATGACCATGTCATGAGGCTTGCTTATACCTGTAAGAGTGGTCCTCTAGGCAAGGAGAAATGTTTTAAAATAGGAGATAAGCTGTAAAGGTAGTAATGTTTGTCCTAACAAGGCAATGGTGGGAGGATAAATTAGACTTCAGATGGGATCACTTGATCACACTTGATTAGTTGAAACTGATTACTTTGTTCTCTCAACAGAGGCGGCTGAATGTTCATCATGAAGAACAAGACATTGTGACACTTGCTGCAAAGATTTCACAGCTTTGTAACTTGTTTGCTATTAAACAAGCTCAGTTTGGGTTTTCAAACATTCCTGTCATCCTACTCCTCTTTTAAAGTTTATGCGATCATACCTGTATACATTATAGGCTTTTTTTTTTTTTTAGTACAAGTAGAGTGGTTTGTTTGTTTGTTTTGTTACTTCTTTCAACCATAATAGAATCATTCGGGTAGGAAGGATGCTCAACCTGGGTCAGTGTTGCGTTCTGACGAGGTCGCTTACGGCTTTGTCCGGCCGGGTGTGAAAACCTCGCAGGGTGACAACTGTACAGCCTCTCTTCAGAAGCTGTCCCAATGCTTAATTTACTGCTTAGTAAACAGCATTGTTCCAGCAAAAGTATGCAGGAAGAAAACACCATTACTGTATCCTCTCAAGTGGTGATTTAAAGGTCTATCAACTGAAATTCTTGTCACTAATTTCTGGAATCGCCATCATTACCCCTAATTCCTTTCTGCATTTGGAAGTCCTGTTAGGTTATAGTATGTACTTGACTGGAAAAAAACTCCATCAAATAAAGAACTTGCATTGCCAATCCTTGTTCTGATGGCACAATTAAGAAAGCCAAACTTAGCTGGTTACTAAGATGTACAGTTTGTGGTTAATTTAGTTGTCGGAGATACTAAGCAGTCCTTCAGCGAATCAACAACTTGTTCGCACTGTTGGGTAGGACATACACCCATTTTGGATACTGGTTCTGTAAGGCAACTGCACATAGAATTATAAAGGCGTCTGCGTTTGCTGACCTGGAAGTTTCCATTATTAAATGATTGGATATTTTGATTTTAAAAACTAAGCCTGCAAAAACTCTGGTAGATGCAATGCTCTTCCTCTTCAGATTGAAATGAAGAAATTTATATTTCACTCCAAAAAGCTTATTGTAAGCATTTGCTATTTGCAGAAGTTACAATGCTACTTCTATTACAGACTTTAAAAGCACTTAATACTGGGAAGTCTGATATTGGTATTACGGCAAAACTGAAGCTTCTTCAGTACGCAGACTTGCTTCCTAAGCAGAAAAGTTCAATTATTCCTCTTCTCGAGAAATCTTCACCAGCACCTACATATGTTACAAACCAGGACAGCAAAATGAGGTTAACTACTCTTAGTGTTACCACCTTTTAATATAGTTACACTATGTGCAAGCGTCTACTGTATTTCCTTTTGGCAAAAGGGGAAAAAATAGTTCAGTATTGGAATAAAATACTCTGTAAGAATCGTCTGAACTAAGCAGATAAGCAGTAGCAGTTTCTTTACATTCACTTCTGTTTGTGATTGCATTGGGTGGCAGCTCATGTGTCTTCTGATTAAGTAGTGTGAGGTACCAGAATGAAGTACTCGATTATTGCTACTAATCTTGATTTGATCTCAACTGACTTTTATTTCAGACTTGTTTTCCATTCAGTACATAAAATCAGTGCCTGCTTACATCTTTCGGAACAGCTTTACTGTCTTAATTCAGTGAAATTTTGCAGTAATTTGAGTTCCGTCAGATCAGAAAAGGCAGCTGTAGCTCATCTTATCTTTTGATAGCCATTGTCCACAGCAAAGGCTTGTCTGTCTCGATGGTCACAATCCTGGAGTCGTCATAGGTATTGGAAGTACTGACCAGCGTTCCAAACTTCAGCACCTGGTTAGCTGCCAAAAAAAATAAGTAAAAGACTTAGTGGTACTCTTGAAAAAAATGCATTGATGTGCATTTATTGTTGTGAAGATTGCTGCTCCTGCAAAGAAGGAATAAAACAGCTGAGTAAATCTAACCCAGATAGATAAAGAACATCTAAAATAGCTATGTTAAATATTAATTACAAGGCTTGTATGAGACTATCCGATGACCTGTAGAGGGAATAAATTAATACTTAATCCCCAAATTAGCATTTTGAGTTTACGGCAGATTATTACAAAAGCAGGTTGTTGAATGTTCCCCAGAGTTTCACATCTGGAAATTTCTATTTCATTAGCATCAGCTCAAGTACCAGCGTTGGACAAGGTATTTAAAGTAAAACGAGGCAGAGGATCTTACTGTAGTTCCAAACATGGAATTTGCTTTAGCTCAGCAGCAAGCCTATAATCTCTTAAAATGTGAACAGTTCTCGAGCAAAGGCCAGCAGTTAAAAGTGGGCCAGCAGCTAAAAGTGGTGGTGGTTAACAATTTTTGCTTTGAAGTGACTTGTATCTTTTCTTCCATTGCATGCCTAGTGAGGTAGGTGTCCACGTGCATTAGAAACCAAGTGGCATTACTCTAACAAATAGCTAATGTCCATTTTAGGAGAGTTTAACACAGCTAACAGTGCAGTTGTAATGATAATTTTGAAATATCCGTGAAGTTTTAAGCAACCGTTCTGTATTGTTTTAGCTGACATGTTTTAAGGGTTACATAGACTTCCTACAAGCTGAGACCAAAGATACAAGCTGCCCCCAAACCAAAAAATGCAGTTTAACTTTTATCTTGCCATTTCCTCCCTTTTGGAGGCAGCATTGCTTGCATTTTGCAAACATACGAACTTCCCCAAAGGCACTCTAAGACTAGTCAGTTCTGTATTAGTCCTTGTTCACGTAAAGGTTCAGAGTAAGAACGCTAAGACTATCCTTTGTTTTAGTCTGTAAAATAAGCCAAATGACAGCTCTTACTGACTGGCACCACAGTTACATTTCCGTGGAGGATACAATGAGAGCTGCAGCTGGGGAGAATGGTTGAGGCAGATCAGCAAGTCTGTGTGGCCTGTGAGAGTTGCCAAATCGTGCATTAATACTGAAGGAGGAATCCTCTGGATTTGCTGTCAAGTGGCCCACTGTGAATGGAGATCTCCCTGTGATCAAGAGGTGTGCAAAATAACATAATAAGCTCTATTTTGTGATTTGCACAGGAGACAAATACTCCAATTGTGGATGTGAACATGGGCTATAGTAAATGGGTGTAGTAATGTATTATTACAATGCATGTTACACTGTCTACCCATTGCTGGAACCTGCACAGGAGGAATTGATCTTGCCAGGCTGGATGGCTTGAAAATAAGAGTCTGACAAAAGGCAGGACATACAATGTGGTTCAGTGTCTCTTCTGCCAAATCTGTCCTTGCTGCTACTTGTTCCTGCTCCCACCCTTGTTATTAGCCTGAAATGAACTGCAGAAAAGGTTTCAGCTGCTAGCTGTATTTGGTTGGAATGAGGGAGTAACACCCGAGTTTCACTACTGCTTTAAACTGAAGAGTCCTGCCATTTGAATCTCTCAGGAGTTTGAAGCATAACTGCAATGCAGTGCTGAAGTTCAGCTGGGGGGGGAAGTACTAGATCAATTATGTACCTAAAATAAAGGTGCTAGATTTTATCAGGATGATTTTGGACACACAATAGTGCTAGGCAGGCTCCTAGACAAATGCCAGGATGAATGAGTTTTGGTGTTTGCCTTTGGAAGAGACAGCAGAGGCTGATGGGGTTATGCCTTGCAGAAGCTGATGCACTGGACTGAGTTGCCAGAGAACCCAGATTTCACCCTTCGCAGATAAACAGGTCGTTTAATGAAGATGAGGTAACACATGGGCAGAGTTCCCTGTGTAAAAAATACTCCCAAAATACCTTGTTAAGTGTTATGATCAAGTTATAAATGTTTCCAGTCGGTTTTAAGTAGGAAAGAACCTTAAATAGTTTAAAATACTTGTTGACGCACAGATTATCCATTTTTTTGTTACTATATATTGAAGCTTGAAGGGAGGGGGGGGAGGAAGAACTTTGTGGATCAACTCTTCTGTATAAACCCACTCATTTAGTATCATTGCTTCTTGCCCAAGACTGTCAGAATAATTCTGAATGTTTCAGCTTTGCATATGAAATAAAGGCTCTGCAGACGGCAAGAATTAAGAACAACATGGCAGCTTAATGAAGCAAAATCTAAAGCAGTATTTCTTCATGCATAAAATTAAGTGAAAATCTTGCCCTTTTTTTTTTTCTTTAAATAAAAAGTTCTTGCCCACTAGATGGAGCCTTTTATCTTTCTCTATCAGATTTTCTTCTCTGCAAGGATCACAGTTTGAAGTGCTGAAGTGAAAAAAATTCAAAAACAGTGCTGCTGATTCACGTGGCTCAAAATGGACCAATTTGAAGTACTCACTTTCACAACCAGCCAATATTTCAGCTAACAATTAAAAATGCATGCCTTCCATTCAATAAATGAACAGTAATTAATGTGAAAAACTAGGTTTAAGCCAGTAAAGGAAATAAGAGGATGTACATACCTACTGCTTCTAGGAAAACTTCCTGCTGCGTCATGCATTATGATGTGAAGTTTACAAGGTCAAAGAAGTGGGAAGTTTTACCAGTTCATACCTGATCCATTCCCTTTTTTTAAATGGCTTTCAGTCTTACTTGTTAACTTCCCTGCCTTGGGAAAAAACCTATAAAAAAAAAACCCAACCCATTCTTGCTATTGAGATTATTTTTCTGAAGTGCATTCCAAAGAAAACAACCTTTTTATTTTCTAATATTTAGTATTTATAGTTTTGATGGGTACCAAAAATGATTTTAAGAAAGGATTTCATGTTGTGATTTTTGAAAAAAAAAATCTAAATCTCAAAAACCCTGGGATTTTTAGAATTCTCTAATGAAAAGAAATTTTATTTTGGACCACTGAAAATTTTCTTGTAGACAAATAGTAGTCTTTTGCTTTTCATGAGAACCTTCAAGAGCTGATTTGGATAAAACCAGAAGTGATTAACTGAAAACAACACCCCCCCCCTTCCTGCAGTGTTAGACATTTTTTCCCCTGAAGTTTTGCTTAGTGCTTTGGTTCCAGTCGAACTGCGTTTATTGGTAATAGACTGTTGATGAGAAAAATACTCTACCCAGGTCCCTCAGTGTAGCTATACTATTTTTCATTACTCTCCATCTATAAAGTCAGCTTGTCTCAGTGGCACTGAGCCTAGGTGGCCTGGCCTCCAAGGAAACCAGTGGGGGTCATGAGTGGTTACACAAGAAGGTAACTACGTAGTAGTTCTGCGGTGTGGTTTTGAAGTCTGACAACTCTGGACTTCAGAACTAAAAGCAAATGCTATTCCTGCCTTTTGGAAAAAAAAAAACCCAAACCAAACCAAAAACCAAACAACAAAATCTATTATAAGCCAGGTTTTTATGGTGCGCCCTATGTTCTCATCAGTAATGGAAGATTCTCATTTCTGTCTGATGGATTGCAATATATCACTAATTCATACCTAACCATGGTCATGGGCAGGGCTTATTTTGACATGGTAGTGGAGGGACGTTTTTCTAGCAGTTTTTATTTTATATAGCAGGTAGTTGAATCTGCCATGGTTTTAGAATGTTGGAAATAATTTAGAGAAGAAATCTGAGGGCTCATAGGTGAGCTTCCCAAAGGAGCATAATCACAAAGATCATTATTTCTTAGACATCCCTTTTGCTGACCAAATTATATGACAAAGGACCTTTGTCCTATAATTGTCCCAAAGGACATTAGCCCTGAGACTGCCCACTTCCACTATTTTATTGCTTATCTTTTGATACTTTTTTTTTTTTTTTTAAATACACAATTCTGAAGATGCCATGTGGAAAATGTTAATCTCAGACATAAGATTTTGAAAGTTGATGAATCTTACGGTTGCCAGAACAACATTTGGAAATGTGAACCAAATGCACCCTAAGTAATCAAGCTATATAAAAAACCAACCAACAAACCAACCAACAAAGCCCAAACCTAAAACTGTCTTTTAAAAACTCTTATCATATTTATACCTCTACCATGGTTGGGAGCTTTATTTTTTAGTTGGTAGTGCTGAAAGTGAGACCTAAGCCTTGCTTGCAACATCTTCACCATTGCGCTGCAGGCTTTCAGCCTGGAAACTGAACAAATAGCGTGGACTCTAATTATAATAGATTGGGTCTTGTTAGGCACTGCAAAATCACTAACTCTCAATATCAGGTTACTCAATAACTGTATTCATGATGTAGTAGACTTACAAACATTATTCCTACAACTTCATTGTACTATTTAAGACACATATACAAAGTTTAGTCTAGCAGAAGAGAGCTTATATCAAGGTCTCATGTACATCTTATAAGTTGCGCTTAAGCAGGGTTTGAGGGAGGCACATACAGAGAAAAAATTTTTTCTTAAATATATCATATATGGCAAAAGCAAACGCTGTCATTAATGTGAAATACTTGATTGAACAAGCAGGCCCTCTGGTTATTCCTACATCTATACCAAAACCACAGCGGGATCTGGACAGCTGAGGCATTTAACTGCAGTATTTAATGGTCATGCTGGAAGAAGAGTTTATGAGGTGTGAGTCCCTCCTTACCAGAAGTAGATTTAGTGAAGGAAGTGATTTTAGTGTGAGAATGGCTGAACGGTAACGCCTCATGTCTTTATCCGAAGACATGTAGGCAAATGGAAGCCTTTTGGAAAGCCCTTGAATGCAGCAGCGTAGCACAAGGGTCCCCACTTCACGGGATTTCACCAGCAAGTCAGGGTCTGGCTACTGTGACCACAAATGACTGAGAACAAAACACCATCACGATAAGCACGTCCCACATAGATGTCGTGATATCTATACTATGCTTCCTTTTCTCAACTTGTCTCTCAAGTACTTCCTGCAATATGTAAAGTCACATCTTGCTGATTTCCG